CACAACGGATATCACAAGCCAGAAACGTTCTGCTTATGCAAAAGGCGCAAGTGATGGCCGTGCGTTAATTTACTCGTTTAGTTTTTTTCACTGTACGACATACATGCGGTTGCATTCGCTAAGGACATAGAAACGGCAAAGACAGAGTTTGATAGACTAATGTTCAAGATTCGTTCATTCTCATACCATGCCGCGCATATCGCGCTTATCTCAGACCTGATGAACGATCTTGTGTGCATGGTCAAGACCGTATGTGAATTCTGGAATACGGACAACGCCTAGTAGGTTTTCTTGCTAGGTACAGCTGCTGTTTTTTATTCCCTTTGTTATAGCTGTGAATCAGATATCGTGTCGCTAACCGAAGCTTTTCGAAAGTGCAGTTCGACTATCAGTAAGCTGGTGCAGACGCAGTCGATGAGCTAAGAGGTGGCAAACAGACCAAATAGCATAAGGAGATTAAAACATACCTTGTTATGACGAGTGGTGCGCGATGTATGCTGATTTCGAAATGTCTAATCAGCTTCAACGCGATCTGTTGTTTAATCGCGCTCACTTTAGATTTACGACCAAAATGATGGAACTTTAATTAATGATGGATTTGCTGAAACTGATAGGTTTTCTGATTCAATGGTTGGCAGCACGCGAAGCTATAGAAGGTTTATTTATAAGAATTTCAAGATTCGACCAAATTGGCATGATTTGGAATGATGCTCCATGTCGTACAAATGTCAACGGAGCCATCTCAATGGCTGCAAGTTTTATTTCTGCTAGCAGAGATGTGTAGAAACTTCTTCATTTGCAGCTTCACCTTGTTTTGATGTCGATCGACCACTGTTACATCACTGTTGTTAAAGTCATAACCATAGATGACTCTTCAGAGCATGAGCAACAAAGCCAAAATGATCATCGTTTCGTTACCTGATGTCTATTCTTTTCTCCGTTAATCTAGTCCCATATGTTCGACATGTCTTGCCAATACTGGTCACCGGTATTGTACGCTAGTTCACAAGTCACGTTTTTACTCTCCAAGCTGGAATGATGTTCAAGTTTCTTGTGCAAGAAGTTAACTAAGGTTTTGCCCCCGCAGAAAAATACATTAAAACCGTAGTTTTTAAATATAATTTCCTTGGATAATCCTGGTATGGCATAGAGATAGGGAAATTACAATCAAAATAGGGGCGGGACCAAACTTGAGGCGATTAAATATAGAATCAATTAATCAATTACTTTGCACATCTGTTTTTGAGGAAAGTAGACGAAAGATGCCTGATTTCATTCCTAAAGAGTCAGTCATCAGTGCAATAGCTTGCAGCCATATGACGCACGCATTTTATGATATTTACGAAGGCAGTTAAGGGGTGTAAGATTAAGTGCTAAAATAACGGTTAGAGTGCTCTGGTTAGTTATGCTTTGAAGGAAAATTTACTAGTAGATTTCTGACTGATATTAATATTTTTGTCTGTTACTGATACATTTATTAATAGAGTTCGAAAAACCGCAGGCTGTCAAAGACTTGTGACGGCGGTACATGCCGTAAAGATAGTGGATTAGTTGGTCACAACATTTTTTCCCCACAAGTATGTCAAATTTATCTTATCTTTTTTTGGTTTCCCGGTCCTTTCATTATTCGGACTACACTGCCTGCATTGACGTGAAGATTTGTCACATGGCCGAATCATCAGAGCTAGCTTCTTAACAGCTTCTTCCACTGTAACCGCTTACACAGGTGCTTCGTATCAAGCCATTATTGTTGATACCATATATTCATGAGCATGAACATTTCAACAGAGTTCACCTGTTGCCTAAAGCTCCGTTACATCACTGATCTTGCCCAATGATTATTTTACAGATCGTTTAATTTAAATAGATGAACAGATTTTTATCACAAAGCACTGCACTCATTTCTTCATTAACGTCAAGCCTTCGATCGACTTCTTCATTCTTTGGCTTTACATGTCAAGTTTCCATGATGCACAACAGCTAACTCAATAGTGTACAGAATGATTTTTTTAAATGTTTTTGGTCTGCTGGAACAAATAAAATTAAAAGTAACAATAATAGTTCAACTATCATATTTAAAAAACTCGGTCATGATAGCCTTCTTGTTTGTCTACCGCTGTGCTACTCGGTCCTACGCCGGCAACTCCCCTACGACGAGGAGGCGCCAGGTACTCGAACATCGAAGTGGTGTGTTCACTCAACATTCTCTTTAGTCCGCATGGCATAGGATCGCTCCAAAAAAATTGATGATTCAGCGCCTTGTCTGCGTCGATTCTTCTACTGGGATCGAGCGTGAGCAGCTGATCGATCAAGTCCAGTGCAAATGGGTCTTTCACGTAAGGCTGCAGTCGTTCCTTCACTTTTCGCTTTAGACCATGGGGCAGCTCAATCTTGCGGTACAAATCCAAGTTGACAACGTTTGGCCAAATGTCTGGCATGATGCTGCCGCACAGCTGACTGATCAACATTATTTGGCGTTGCTCCGTTGCACCCTACAATGTGCTGTAATAACCGATCAATTTGACGATGAAAATCGAATAAAAATTTATATAACTACAAAACTAAATGAATTTAAAGCAAATCGTACTGTTGGTCTAACATCTAAATAACTCATATACCGAAAAACGTTTTACAAATCACCGAAGTCCTGCTGTACTGTGGGTGACGCTGGTGAAAATTTCAACAACTGACAAGGTGATGCGAGTGTAGAAGCTGCCACCTCCCATCGTAGCAGTCATTTAATTACTAATTTAATGTATTATAAACTGAATGGCATGTTCTCTGTAGTTTATGGGGCCTAAGATGCCAGTACAAGAAAAAGACTATTACTAGCTATGAAATATTAGACAGGGTTCAAGAGGCGCGAAACAGCCTGTAGGAATATAACCAGATCGATGGGAAGATGAAATCAGAGGTCTGTTGGACCAGTGTAAATAAGAATTGCAAGGCAGTTTTAAGACAAAATTCTGGACAGATCTTCATGAGGTAGTTTAATGAAAATGCCGCGGATGATGATGACGACTAAAGTATACCTATATAATTTCAGCCGTTCATTTTCAGTAGACGCCAACGAAACTGAACCTGTGCACCTACTGAAAAACTGGCATTTAGTGCAACATAAACGTAGTTTAGTTCCACTTTTCGGATCCTGAAGCTACTCAGGGATATTCACAAACAAATATTAAGCGTTAGAGTAAATTTTAGATGACACTCACGTCACTTTACCAACTCTGAGACTTCGCAACTGGAATGGGGGAAAAATATTGGCTCATCATCCGGAGATTGTTGGAAGACAAAGCGGGACATAAATCGCTGATATAGCATACCTGATTGGCGGCAATGTTGCTGTCGAGGAGACAGAAAGGATACTTAAATATTAATAATTGAGCATGGAAATACAGAAGACTACATACTGGAGACTAAATATGAAAGCCATTTCCTGTGATGAACCGTGACTTTGGAGCATTGAAAAGTGAGCATTAGAGCCTACTAAAATCCACTGATGAAGCGACCAAGGTGGATTAACTGCAAAAAAGGACACTGCTATGAGCAAACAGGATTTTAAAAAGAGGACTGCTACTCTCTAACCCTTGGTGGATGGTTTTAGCTGACGTGATGTTCATACCATTTATATTTCCTGGAGCGTGATTAAAATAATATATAATAAATAGAGATAGCAAAAGTTACAATACGCAAGCAATGAACAATCGTGGGTATGCACCGTACACATGAAAGGTATAAAAGGGGTACTGGTCGAAAACCAGATTTGAATCTTATTTAAAAGAAGCGAATAAGATCATGAACATCTAGGCTGAGCAGATGTCATATGGTGCAATTATTGTCGTTTCATTTTTAAGCTAAACAGATAGGGGCACGGTAATAAGGATCCCGAGTCTAGATTGTAAGCTTCTATCCTGCTTAGATGTTTCTATTCTAATGGACCTGCTATAATCTCTCATTGTTAGGAAAGGCGGATTCATCCTAAGCCCTTGAAAAGGAGCTGTACTATTGTCACTTTAGAAGTTTGCCTGTCTTTACGATATAAACGCCATCGCAGTGCCTAGAGTTAACTTTATAAACAGCACTAACTAAAGAAATTAATTGTTGCCAAAAAGAAAATAGAAAGGACAGTAGGTTTTACAAAAAAATGCTCAATTTTTAAATATACGACAGGTACGTTAGTCAATTAATAATTTAAATTCACCAAAAATAATTCATTCAAGAATATTAACTTGAGTATTCTATATTAAAATAAGTAATATGCACAGTATAGGGCAGGTTCTTATTCAGTGGAGGACTGTTTAAATCAAAAATTGGCACTTCGTTACCCTATCGTTGCAGAATTTTCCAGGGATTAAGCACATTAGTACAGTCTAGTAGGGTAGTCGCTCGCATTATACAGTAACGGTGCGCGTGTTGCTCTATGGGTCATACCGTTGCCCGATTAATGACGAAACGCTAAATTCGAATTCTCGTAAAAAATTACTTTAGAAAACACACATTACTGTCGAAAACAAGTTCTGCGCTGAATGAGGCATTTACACCGTGCAGTTCAGTACGTTTGCATCAAGCTATTAATAAAAACATGATTACCTGCATAATAGGACTCCTGGTCCACAGCTCTGCCATGATGCAACCGGCTCCCCAAATGTCAATCGCAGTGGTGTACTTGCGATCGCCGAGCAACAGTTCCGGGGGACGGTACCAAAGTGTTACCACTCGGTTCGTGTACCTCGGGTCTTGTTTCATAACAGGGCGCGCCAAGCCGAAGTCGGCCAACTTCAATACACCGTCCTTGGTGATCAGAATGTTCGCCGCCTTCATGTCTCGATGCAGGATGTTTTGTGCGTGGATGAAGTAAAGGCCTTCCAGCAGTTGCTTCATTACCTCCTTGATTTCGCCGAGGGAAAATTTCACTTTCATGTTACTCAGCAGTCCGGCGAGGTCATGCTCACAAAACGCGAAGACCAGGTAGAAAGTGGAACGACCTCGGTTGAAAGCAGTTGCTGTAAACAAAACCGCGATAAACGGTAGGGTAAACAGAAACTGCGTTAATGACAATCAGGTTCGAAAAATTAGCGATTCGCCTCCACTAGGTTTTTTGTAGCACATGATCTCCCAAAATTATCAAATTGCCATAACTTCATCACCTGTACTAAACATATCTTGCCCACCCTAGTCTCAGGGAGACAGACTAAACCGACTGGTAAATCCGTGCAAGGCTGCTTTATCAGACGCAAACTTCTTCACGACGTAACTGTCACCGGAACTACAAAGACGGCAACCGGTAATGAAACACAATCAAAACCCATTAAGTGCAGAAAACAGGCTAAAATCTTACTAGAATTCGAAGACTACAGACCACAAAACTAGATATCTATATCTGTAGCTTTCCTAAATAAAAGAAAACAAAAAATTATAACAGCGTACCTTTAGAACTGCAAATTTCGATCAGCTCCGTCACGTTCTGATGTTTCAAGCGTTGCAAAATTTTGATTTCCCGGAGGGCAGTAATCGGAAACTGTAAACAAGCTTTCACTTGGGCGAACTGTTAATAATGCTTTTTTGAATAAGCACCCATTGTCAAAAATTATTATTATTCGTTGATGTTAATAAGAGGATAACGCTTTTGTAGTATCAACGAGTGACGATAGACAGGACGCATATATAGACACTCAAGTCAAGTCAAGCAAGGGCAATAGTGAAGACGTAAACCGTTCGGTGGATAACAAGAAACTGAACAGCAGCGCGAAGCATGTCTCTGGTATCTAAGCTCGGCACCTCTCAACAAGCAATCAGGTACGATAATGAGTGCTAATTACTGACAGAAAATGGAGGTTCTTTCGAAGCACTGCGTATGTGACGATACTCTGCAAACTTCGGAATACGGTTATCGAAATATCATCGACATGGCCTGAGAAGTGCGCCACCTCCAAATCGAGAGATTATGGTGGGGTGGCTGATACTCGCGATCATGATGCCCAGAACAATACGCAATGCGAACGTCCTTCCCAATGCCATGCCAAACGGTCAAGTTGTTGATCGAGAGCTAGAGGGTCCAAGTATATTGGACATCCAGCACGCGCAGCACTTTAAAATCCGGTCTGCAGAGAATGTCTGATTGACGAAAGACTGAGACTGAGATCACTGGAAAAGAAAACTCATGAAACAGCAGCTAACGTGTCATAAACGGAATAGTGGCGTAGAGAAATCGAAACCAGCTTAAGCTTGAAAATAGTAAGCAATTATCCAGCATAATCGTTTTGCAGGTAAGAAATAACATAAGATAATAAAATTCATTACATTAAAAATAATGAAAGGGAATGAAACAGCGAAAATGCACAGTGTAAAGAAAGAAAAATCTTTTTTACTTTACGTCAGCAGCACAATTACAGCTGCAACTTGCTTCTAGACCCCTAGTAAAAACATTTAAGCAGGTCAGGACTGCATAGCAGAAATGCCTGCAAAGGGCCTGCAAAGCATAGAACGCATGACTGCGTCTAGTAGTTGGGTTGAACAAGAGCATGTTCAAGCACAAACATGTTTGTCAATATCCGTACGCGAATTTGTACAATATTAACTTCGAATATTAAACGCAAATGACGAATATCAACAGAGGATATAATACAACACTATTAAATTAGTTTCCATCAAGAGAGGCAATTTATCACTACAGATATTAGTGTATGTATCCGGTCAGTCCTAAATACAGCAGCAGCATTCGAAAATATATTTTAAAAACTTTAATCTAAAACAAATGAAAGAAATAATTATGGAATTGACGACATCGACGAAATAGACATAACGAATCGTAAGCGATATATCGATATTGGTAATTACAGTGGGTTAAATAATGTGCAACTACATGAAACAGATGGCTGATAAAAATATTTTAAAGCATTACATTAATACATACGTTATAAGTTATGTTAACATTTAAATCCCCTGCTTCTCAGCGCAAATGGTTTTGGGCGTGACAAAAGATGTGAAAATTACTCTGATCATGGCTCTGTGTCAGAGTCGAAACGTTAGAATAAAATAAAGGAGTATCTTATGTCACGCTCAAAGCCATTTGCATTGATGAAATGTGAGTAGACTGTAACCCTGTACTGAAAGTATGACATTCTGAAAATTAACATTTAAAACTTTATCGATAGGTGGTCGAACCATTCATGCTTCAGGCCACGAAATGCAACTGATGATAAATCTTTTATTGCCAATGCGTTTCGCTTTAAAGACCGTATCATTATCAAGGCTAAGTAACTTATCTATATAACTACAGGTCCAGAATCAAATCAATCTGTAGTGTTTCAATT